AGCATGAACTTTGATAATAATCCCTATAGTTTTTGTTTTTAAAGTCTTTAATGTCAGTCCAACTCACATGCCAGGGTGAAGCGATATTAGATAAACAAAAGCAAATCTGGATTTTTTTAAAAATTCAAATAGGCAAAAAAAAGACCAAGTCAAATGAAGTCAGACTGACCTTGTCATTCATGCTGTTTTTCAAGCTCCCCTTCCCCACACCCATACACAAGCATGCAAAGCACAAAACAAATGAGTCACATCTAATCTCGTGGGTATCGGCTCAATCAGACGATCTCTGGTGATGCGAGGATGCAGGGATGGGTGGCTAATATGTATCAAAGCCTTCATTTTTAATAAAACGTGTTGCCTATAGGCAAACATTAATGAGTCCTGTTTTCTTCGTGTGGTCAAGGTGAAGAATCAGAGACAGCAGATTTAAGGGTAAAGAATGCAATCACAGCACTTAGAGTGGGATAAAAACCACACAGCTTATTTATCTGGTCCAGCAAGTGAAGCTCTCATCCTCGACTGCAGATCTGGGAAACAAATTTAATGTGAATACAACACAAAGAGAACAGAATATTTAGTTTTTGTCCTCAGTTGTGAATACAAACTTAACACAAACCTGGTTGGGCAGAGACAACCAGAGCCCTATAAAGAGAGAGTTGCGACACTCCCATAGACTCCCATAGAAAGAATGGAATGCGGAAGTCACGTGGGTCATGAAGCGGCAAAGAGTTCCAAACAGCAGCGGGTTCGGCATTGAACGTAGTACATTCTCCGTGTTTTTCCGGTAAGTTGATGCAAATACGACACTTTTTCTCCATTGTGAAGCGTTATCTGACTGTTCTGTACCACAGTTTATCAACATTAATACTTCATGTCGCCAGTTTTAGTTAATGAAACGTGTTAAATTACTAGTTGTGTTTTAACTGCAGCTGCTCTGCAACATGACGGTTTAAACGGGTCTATTTCTAATTCAGCGTTTTAAAATATCTATTACTGATTAAATTTTGAAAGATGGTCTTTTTTAAATTTATGGTAATTCCAGTTACTGAACTCAACTAGAAAATATTTGGTCTTTTTTTCCTGAGAGATTCATTCAAGCTTTATTTCTACAGGTAAATCCCATTGAGCCTCGAGGACTCATTTACAAGAGAGACCTGATTTAACAAAGAATGATGACATGACAACAAGACTTACGTAATTTAGTTAAAGTTATAGATCATTTGTCAAAGACTGCAGCATAAATTGTGACATTATCATTAAAGAAAAACGTGATTGTGGAGATGAGTCAATGTTTTCATGTTTTCCAGGTAAACCAGAGGAGAATGACTTCATGAACTGAATGTTGCATTCAAAGTATCACAAAGGTACAAGATCTCATTTTCTGTCTTCTATTAATCAATAACAGCTTAATCAAGATGATTGAATAAAATTACTTTAACACCATAACCTTCACAAAGTTGGTATTTACTGCAGGACTGTTCATTTACATCAGTTTTATATTATTAGTTTAGTGTTTGGTAATCATGGGTCAAGTTGAGATGAGACTCTTTCAAGACAGAACAAGAAATAAGAATTATTACAAGAATATATCAGCATCAATAAACTGTAGGACAGTAACAAAAAAACTTATTAAACTATCACAGGTACATTGAGATGGAGCTGGAAGTTATTCTTCATGCCAGTTGTCTTCATCTGATCTTTTGTCAAAATATGTCAATTTATTTTCCATTAACATTTTTCTTCTCAGGACTGAGTTAATTTTCTTGTCTGTGAGTTTCTTCTGTCCTGCTTATGTATGTTTTTGTGTTCTAACTGTTCCCTCAGGTTGTTCATCTATGTTCCCTGACTGCCTGTTGATCCATCCTCCTGGTCCTGTTGATCCATCCTCCTGGTCCTGTTGATCCATCCTGGCCCTGTTGATCCTGGATCATCAGATCCTGACATGTCCCCGTCCTCTGAGGACACATTTTCATCTGTCCCTCATCTCACTCACCTCATTTCTGTTTCTTCCTCAGTCTCTGAAATTACAACGTCACCGTTAGAATGAAGATTATTGTTCAATAAAAATATGACATGTCTTATTTAACACTGTTCGTACCGAAGTTTAATTTAGAACAACATGTGTGATCACTGGTCAGATCACTGGTCAGTGGAAGTTCTGCTGTTCTTCTCATCTGGTTCTGGTCCATGAACAACTGGTTGAACCTCCTTCAGTCTCACACGTCTTCACTGTGTCTCTGTGAACTGTCCTCTCTCTAAATGTGTCTGTAGAGTGACATCAGTTTATTTTCTTGCATGTTTCTTTGACAGTTAAACATTTTGAGCCCTGATTGAAAATGTTTGTGCAGATTAAATTTACAGCTCTCACTTTGTGTTGTTGTGATGATGATGATGATGGTGCTCCTGCTGACTTCAGATGATGTCATTAATAAACAGTATAAATGTCAGTAAAAGTACTTTATTAAAGCTTGCTTTACATTTTACATATTATATAATAAATTGTTTGGAAATTTATTTTTGCACAGTTAACACTTATTTTGTCATCTGTTATGATTTTAACTAGAAACAGTTTCATTTAAATTAACATTTTAATCAAAGAATTACAATTTTACAATAGTTGTCAGGCTACAATCAACTCAGTTATCAGGTACTTGGTTGCCATAAAAAAACGACAAATACAACAATTATATTCAGTCTCTCTTGTAAATGAGTCCTCGTGGCTCAATGGGACGAACCTGTTTAAATAAAGGTTGAATTAATATCTTCTATCGAAATCAATAATTCATCCAGATGATCTGAGGTAAGCTGGAGCAGATCTGAACTGCTGCATGGAGGACAAGGTGGAGCATTATCCTGCAGAGAACATCAGAAACAGTTTTATAACAGGAGTTACTCTGATCTTTTTTTAACGTTATAAAACACTGACATGGCTATATTGATCACTGTATTGCATATACATTATTTTTCTAACAAATATGTGTTTGCAGTCTCGTTTCCTTCTAAAATTTAATGATAAATGTATCAGCTGCTTCTAAAAATGCTTTGATAAAATGCATAGTCTGTGAAATAATCAGTAATCAGTTCGTTACTGCTCAATAATTACTGAAAGACACAGGTAAAGTAAGAAAAGTCGATTTATGTGTTATGTTGCGCCAGCAGCCGCTCAAACTGACTGACAGCGATGAGCTGTTTGGAACTATGGGGAGCTGCATGAACCACGTGACTGCGTATCGGCGAGTTCAAAGAGTGTCGCAACTCTCTCTTTACAGGGCTCTGGAGACAACTAACCCCAGTGTGTTTTACCAACGTAGACTACTAGATGGCGCTGTTCAGTTGCTACTGTCTTTGTAGAAGTTACAGCAACAGTGACTTCTGCATTTAACACCACTAATATTAATTTATTAATATAACTTATTCTTGTTTGGCATCAGCTGAATGAACTGTTGCAGTCGTCTGTGCAGGAAGGTGTCGTGCTGCTCCTAAACTCTGGTTTATGGTCTGAACCAGTGATTCACCACCCACTGAATTCAATCCAAGTGGCCTTTTGTGTCTAATTCGTTGCGCGTACAAGAAAAAAACATGCCTCGTCCGTAAAACGCAATGCCTAAAATTGCCTTCTTTGTTTTGTCTTTACATGCCCACATTTGAGCAACATGCTTTGATTCTTCTCCAGCTGTGGGTAAACAATCATTTGGCCACCTTGCTTCCTGCAAAAGCTGCAGAGAATGAGCTCTCTCTCGTCACGAGGCGATACAAATGAGATGCAAATGAAACAACCGTCGGAAAGGCAAGCTCTTTTGTTGACGCACTGAGAAATGAGAATGAAAACTTGCGTAAAAGTAAAATCAGACATCACCCTCCTCTATCTTCCTCATCTTGCTGATGTGATCAAATCCCACTGAACGTGTTGTAACTTATTTGTAAGGTCACAGCCAGTCTATTTTAAATGCTCTCCGTCTCCTCACATGTTTGTTTATGTTGCTTTTGCAGCAACAAAATCCTGTTTTCATACCTCTGAGCTCCAGCAGAATGAGTGTCATCAAGTATCAGAGCTGGCATCAACTCGAGGTGTTGCATGTGTTTGTAGGAAATAAGGGAAGCGTAAGAGGAAGAGGGCAAGCGATTGACAGAAAGGTGATTGAGTCAGATTCTCGGAAAGCTCATGTGAGTCTGCAGCCACCGTGCCAAAGAGAGGAGCTCTATTTTTAGGGAAGGAATGTCCACGGGCCTCGTGGAAAGAGGCCGCAACAACAAACGGTGTGCATCGAGCTGCCTACAAAGAGACGAGCGCACACGCTCACACGGCATCAACACAAGGAGGAAAGGGAACAGAGTTCAGCAAAATGGCAGCGCTGTACATTTTCTGCTGAGAAGTTGAAACACGTGGGAACTAAAGCAATGTCAGGAAGAAGAGAATAAAAAAGGTAAGAGTTGTTTATGACCTGCTTTTAATAATGTCTGCAGAATCCAGATGATGTCAGAATTGAAGAATTGTATGTTTTTTCTACAATCTCACTTGTGCACATGCATACATGCATGAAATGAAACATCTTAATTCGCTCCACACAACAAAACACGACCACATGTTCTCCCATGAGGACGACAATGCAGAAGTTTCTACAGCCAGAACAATCAGACAAACACATACTTTACATAGGAATATATTTGATGTTCAATTAATTGTGTGTGTTAGATATTTGGGATGTTTATTTTTAATATTTCCACCAAAATTTAAATTTAATTTCCCTTTTTGGGCTGCATGAACAGGTTACAGTCAAATTTTACCTTTAAGATATGCTGAGAATGAAATTCATTGCATTGCACTGAGAGTTTTTACTTTTATATTTATTTAAAGCCATTTTTCTAGTATATTTGCATAAATAAAATGTGCAGCACTTAACTAACCTTATCCAGGGTTTGGTTGAATTAAATTAAATGCTGATAAAAGTACCGGTATCTTATTTCAAGCCCTACAAGCTCTACACGGTGAACATTCATGCCTCAAGACTAATTGCCTTTCAAACATCGCGGCCTGTTCTCAGGATGGATCCATGTGCAGCCGAGGTCCACCTCCACAAAGATGAAGATCATTCCTGCTCTCTGCTTCTGCAGCTCAACAGACTGAGACAGGAGAGCATCCTGACGGACGTGGTGCTGTGTTCAGGGACCACACAGATCCCCTGCCATCGTAACGTCTTGGTGTCCAGCAGCCCTTACTTCAGCGCCATGTTCTGCAACAACTTTGTGGAGAGCCAACAGACCAGGATTGATCTGAAGGGAGTCCCGTCAGGCATTCTGAGCATCATCATCAACTACGTTTACACTGGACTCGTTAGCATCAGCATGGACATTGTGCTCCCTCTGATGCAGGCAGCGTCCATGTTGCAGTATGGACGCCTGTTTGAGGCCTGCTCTAGGTTCCTTCAGGAACAACTGAATCCAAACAACTGCTTGAGCATGATAAGACTTTCTGACATAATGAACTGTAATAGTTTAAGAGACAAAGCTAAAGAGATGGCCATGGAGAGCTTCTCTGATGTTTCGGCCTCTGAGGATCTGCATGAGCTCACCCTACAGGAGCTGATGGGATACCTGGACGATGACGGTCTTTGTGCAGAGGAGGAGCAGGTCTTTGAGACGCTTGTTGCTTGGATACATCATGATCCCATGTCCAGGTGTGGGGCGATCAGCGACCTCTTCAGGAAGGTTCGCCTTCGTTACATCCACCCCACCTACCTCTTCCAGTTCATAGCAAATGATCCTCTAATCCAGTCATCCACCCTCTGCACCGAGCTCATCGAGTCTGTGAGGCGCCTCATGTTCTCTGTCGGCACCAAGATCAACGGAGACCCTTCAGTAGATTTTGTTTGGGATGCCCCGCGGCGCCACACCTACAATGAGATGTTGTTGGTAGTTGGAGGGAGGAAGAACAACGAGCTGACGTCAAGGGAAGCGTTAGCCTTTGATGAGAAAAGCCAGAAGTGGCAATGGCTCGCCAAGCTTCCAGTTCGTCTTTACAAAGCGTCCTACGTGGCCCTTCACAGCGTACTGTATGTTCTTGGAGGCTGGACCACAAATACAAAAGACAGTCAAGTCAGCAGGACTGTCTACACCTTGTCTCTCAAGACCAATCAGTGGCGGACCGCAGAGCCCATGCTTCAGCCTCACTTTGCCCACCACAGTGTCTCCTACCTGCACTTCATCTTCGTCTTGGGTGGCCTTGGGCCCGATAGACAACTAACAGACGGCGTGGAAAGGTAAGCAATTCAGTCAACTCCTTCTGTTGCTGAGAAAAGTAAGCTGCAAAACACCAACGAGCAATCTCTCAATGCTGTGATGGAAGGTACAACAGTATGTTCAACCAGTGGGAGTCGATGGCGCCGATGCCTGAGGCGGTTCTCCACCCTGCAGTCGCCACTACCAACCAGAGGATCTATGTGTTTGGAGGAGAGGATGCCATGCAGAACCCGGTCAGAGTCATACAGGTGAGACCACATGCATTCACATGCTTCTTTCCATTTTTACCTCATCATTCACTCAGTTTATTTTTCTTTACCTGTGGCAGGTTTACCACATCGGCAGGAACATGTGGTCTAAGATGGAGAACAGAACGGTGAAGAATGTCTCTGCTCCGGCTGTTGCTCTGGCAGAAAAAATCTACATTGTTGGAGGTACAGATGGTGTTAGAGCTGTAACAGGTTAAAATGACTGGCAAATGAAAATACAACAAGCAGAACATTGATATCCCCTGCTGCTGAGAGACTTGAATAGTGAATGTAGTTTTCAAAATGAGTGATTTTTTTTTTCACTTTAGTTGAACAGGAAATGCAAGAAAACCTTAATGTTTATGGTGCAAGATATTCACATGGGTAGGAGTTACACTGTGTAGTAAAGAAATAGTATGAAATATATATATATATATATATATATATATATATTTTATTTTTTTTATTTTATTTTTTTTTTGTCCGAGGCAGGACAGAGTGGTGGACCCTGGAGAACAACTTTATCCACCAGCAGGAGCGATGGTGGAGCCAGGCAGTGGCCAGTGGTGGCCTTGGCTACCATAGATTACCCAAGACCACCATTGGCCACTGCCTGGCTTCAAAAATTCAAATATCAGAGTCAGAGTCAGAGTTGCTTTATTGTCATTCGCACCACATGTGGTACATGTGGTGGAACGAAATTATGTACACAGGGTCCCAGTTACATCCAACAATAAAATGTAAAAGACAAACAATGAGATATGATATGAAACTAAGATATGAACTAAGAAAAACATAAACTAAAAATACACTAAGCACTAATAGCATAAACACATTATGTCGAACATCAGCATGAACATGAACATGAGTCTGTGTGAACAGAGGAGCACGCATAAACACATCAACATGAAACAGATCATTAGTAACATGATGTGATTCTTCACAGTGATTATTCTGGTTAGAGATTCATGAGTCTAACAGCCTCAGGGTAGAAGCTGTTGCTCAGTCTAGTGGTTCGACACTTAATGCTCCTCAACCTCCTTCCTGAGGGGAGCGGGGCAAAAAGCGTGTGTGCTGGGTGAGTGGGGTCCTTCATGATGCAGGTGGCCCTCTTCCTGCATCTGGAGGTGTAGATGTCTGTGATGGTGGGGAGACTGACTCCAACAGTTTTCTGTGCAGCCTTCACCACTCTCTGCAAAGCTTTTCTTTCTGCAAAATATCAAACCATATATAAAAATTAGAAAGTATTGTTTCCTCAAATGATAGAGGTGGTCAGTTTACATAACTATGACAGCGGCCAACTTGGATTTTGATGTATCAACCCAATTTTTGAATGGAAACTTTCTTAGATGTAGCCGCACACCAACATGGAAGTGAGTACCTCAGTTATTTTTCAAGTTATATTCACAACATGCACGGACGAACAAAGTGTATTTCCCGTTCCACTTCTTTGCTTCACGACTGGGGACAAGAACAAAAATCACACCAGTGCTTCAGAAAATACAACAGCAGAGAACGAGATGTGTTTCAGAAAACATAACATGTCAGACAACACATAGACACAACAAAGAGAAGAGACAAAAAAGAATGAGGATGTTCTTCTGAACATTTATTTAACAAAAATAAAGTCATTTTGGCAAACAATGTAACAGAAATCAAATAAAAAAGCCAAAGTTCTGTGAAATTAGAGGAGGTAAAACAAAACAAAATGTAAAACCTTTTGTTTTATTTGCAAAACAACAACAACAACAAAATTACCATAAATTTAATGTACATGCTTTCACTGTTGAATTCACAATTTTTGGGACATTTTGAAATGAGCTTTTTAGGAATATTTATGAGCAACTACGGTAATATATCACCTTTTATTGATTGTTCTTCAAAGAACCTAAATTTTTTCCCTCATTGTTTCAATGTTGTTTCCATTTTGAAAGAATTCTTAAATCTTTATGACAATTTATGCAAACGCTATTTCATAACATTTTACATTATTTTAAGTTTTGCACTGCACATTTTTTTAAGGCAGAGGTTCTAAAACTGGGGTCTGAAGAGATCCCAGGGGATCTGTTGCTTGGGGAGGTCTGCAAAATAAATTACAGTATAACCAATAATGTCATATCATTTAAATATGTGCATCAATACATAATCAATACATATGGGAAGCAATGTGCCTTGCTTTCTTTCCTGTAAGGGGTCCACAGATCCAGAAAGTTTGAGAACCCTTTGCTTAGGGTTATTTTCAAGAGTAAATAGCAGTAGCAGTTAGCTGTAGCACTTCCAGGACAGCCTGGGAGCACTTCCTGCAGGATTATTCTAATTATAGTAGATAATGATGTAAGATTTATAATAAAGTATTTACATAAAGTGCAGCAGCTCCTGACTCCTGCTAAATTATTAATACATTTATGAATTTTAGCTCATGCTTTTGGTAAATCTGAGCCCCAGGTGCCGCCTCTGTCTTATGAATGTGTCCGCTGTCGCAGGATACACCCGCAGAATGATGGCGTACGACACCAAGGCCAACAGGTTCATCAAGTGTGCCAACCTGAAGGAGAGGCGGATGCACCATTCTGCCACCGTGCTCAACCACAGAGTCTACGTCACAGGCGGGCGCTGCCTCAACGGACACGACGCCATTCAAGACTTGGACACTTTTGAGTGCTACGACCCAAAGACGGACACTTGGACGTGTAAAGGAAGTCTGCCGTGTCAGTTATTTGACCACGGCTTCCTGACTCTGACGTGCGTGTCGCACAATCTTAAAAATATTGTATGATGTATGTTTTCAAACTAGGGGTTTGTGTATTAAAGGTTTTATTTATTTTTTTCAGTAAAAATTAACAAGTTACAAAAAAAACAACATTAGTCAAACATTTATGTTTTTAATGACATTTCCAGATACAATACCCAAACACAGAAAAACGCATGATGAAGCTATTATGATATGATTGTTCATATTTTACTACTAGTTTGCAGAAATCTTCACGTCTTTATATTTTCTTTCCAATGAGGCAGATTTTTCATGCATTATTTTAAAATGCTCTTGATCAAGAGTTTTTCACGTTTAAATTTTTGACTTTGTTTGGACTCGACCCATTTCTGTATCCGATTGTGGCAACTTATTGAGCCTAAAATGTGTGGAAAGTGGAGGACAAAACAGATTGTCAGACAACAGTACATACAGCAGATGAACAATATCTGAGGGTCGTGACTTTAATGAGACAGGAAATAATCTAACAAAGACCTGACAGGACACTTGACAGACATTACCTCAGCTGATCCTGATGTGTGACAAAGTTTCAGCTCCGAGCTCTTTGTTGGTTCCTAAATACTATTTCATATGTTAAACTGAGTTAAATTACTTGAACTTTTCGTAGATTCAGTTAAAAAAATCAGACCTATATGTATCGTTGTGACACCCTGCTGCTAACAATGACAAAGTTAGCTCATTTCTGTTTGTTCTTTTATTTGTCGACACAAAAACAAGTTCATATGTTGGGTTTACGTTTTATTTTTGAATAATCCATAAGTCTGGATTAAAGTGTCTGTACTGTATATCATACAAATACAAAATGTGGAAGAAAAATCCTATTTTCAAAATTTGACATAATATACATGATTTTATTCATTTTGTCACAGGTCATATTTTTTGTTAATTTGGCACAGCAAAAGTGAAACAGGAAGTGACATCAAAGGGGAACTCTTATAAAGGAGAACTTCCTGGTCTTTGTTCATATGAGCTCTGGCTCTTCTTCATCCCTGATAATGACTCAAAATAATCAGAAGAAACATCATACTGTCTGTGGTAGTCATTGTAGCAATGCTCTGCTCACATGCAGATGTTCCACTTTTACATTACCTCCTGTAGCTAACATCACTTCCTGTTGCTGACATCACTTCCTGTTGCTGCACATTAAACTATCTTAACTGTTCATCTCAGCTGCATTAATCTTCTTTTTTTTTTTTTTTGCAAAGCCTTATTAATGTTATCTTTCCAAATATGCATTTGCATATATCACAAACATTTGATGTTGCAGGCAACAAACAAACAAACATTCCTCATTGATCTGATCGTTTGGTATTAAAAAGCAGCTGAAGTTCAAAAGCACAACTTAAAATCACTTGTAAAGATTATAAGAATATCTAGTTTATTGAAAGCAAAATAAAGTATTGAATCTTTTTAGTATCTTGTTTAATTAACCTAACAAAGTTCAGTCAGGTCATCTGGACGGTTTCTTTTTTTGTTGAGATGTTTCGTCCTTCATCCAAAGGACTTCATCAGTACGAGGAGCCACAACAAACTCAGTCCCACAAGCAGAACACTCACATAGTGGACCAACCAGTTTGCTGGTCGACTCCTCTGAGGCAGCCATAACCAAATTGGTTCAAAACATCAAAGTTCATGCTGATTGTTGTTCATGCAGGTTTTTTTCTTCAACAAAAAATAAATAAATTAATAAAAAAACGTCCAGATGACCTGACTGAACTTTGTTGAATTTTTTTTTTTTTAAACCTGGATTATTGAGCATGAACTTTGTTTATTTCAGTTTTATACATCTATAAAGTTGTTTCTAATTGTAATAATTTATATTTTTCTTATGTAAAATATAACCTTTCACTTCATTCTTGTGACCTCTCTTCATTTCTCATCAGCTGACAGTGAATCTCAGCACAAGATGTTTCGTCCTCAACCCTTTGATCCTCACTGACATCCTGTTCATACATGACCGTCTGCATGTCTGGGCTTGTTCCTGACCCCCGCCCCCCCACCACACACACACACACACACACACACACACACACACACACACACACACACACACACACACACACACCCACACACACACACACACACACACACACACACACACACACACACACACACACACACACACACACACACACACACACACACACACACACAAAGACAAAGACGTTTTTCTTTAAAATGATTTCAGAACAGCTGCTCATGTAATCGTATTTACTGATGACTTCCAGAACACAAGTCAGCCCCTCGTAAAGACATAAACATCATGTACCACAGAAATCCACAAGCATCATCATGAAATGGAAGGTCTTTGGGTCAAAGGTTTCAGTCTCCTTCCATCAAAGTGTTTGTGTGTGTGTGTGTGTGTGTGTGTGTGTGTGGGGGGGGGGGGGGTACAGGTGATCTGAGGTTATTTTGAGTAACAAACAAGAGGGTGAGAGTTACACCTCGTGAGGTCTGTTCCGCCTGAGCTGACAGATGCGAGACAGATAAACTGTGAGGCGTATTTCACAACAGAGAATCTGAGCGAGTGATGAAACTCATCCCGCGAGGAGCAGCAACAGGTGGAGGGTTGTAGCACTGTGTGCTGAAGTGTGTATGGGTTTAGGGCTGACCAGCTGTTGTGCTCTGTCAATTTATTGCAACTTAAACAGAAGAAGAGAGAATTAAGAGGGAGAAATCTAACTCCACATTTGAAACTGTCTCTACATTGAACTGTATACATATCTAATGATCCTGGCAGACTTCAGCTCAGTGATGCTGTTCATGTATAAAATAAATAAATCTTGCATCAGCATCACCAGACACAGTGGCAGAACCAGGGGGTGGCTAATGGTGGCCTCGGCCACAATAAATTATTCTTCGACCACTCCAAGGGCAACCCCAATCATTTGAGGAAACTATACTTTGAAGCAGAATAAAACATAAAATCATAGTTTCCTCAAATAATTGGGGTGGCTGGTTTACACTCATGTATATATGGTGGTGGCCATCTTGGATTTTGACATCAATGACATTTTTGATAGCAACCTTGGTTAGATTTCTAGATGCAGCCACACACCAAAATGAAAGTTGGCATGTTGCTCATTTGTCAAGTTATCCAACTCACAAGGTTAACATGTATACATATATGGCAACAGCCATCTTGGATTTTGACCTCACAGCCTGGACTTAACGGACGGAGGGTATTTCCAAATTCTCCCTTTTTGCTCTGCACGAGGGACAAACAAACAAAAAGTTGCGCTAAAGAATGACTGGTCAGGAAACCCCCCCTCAAACTGGTTGATCCACTATGCTAGGTGCTATTTATAAGGCCGAGTTTAGTGCAGTTCCTCAGACTGACAATTTTGGATAAAAGACAAAACATGGTGGCACAAAAACTCAACAGTGCCTTCTACTTCCAAGATACTCTAAAAGTTATGTCAGGTCATCTGGACAGTTTCTTTTTTTTGTGCTGAAATGTTTCGCCTTCGGTCGAAAGGCGAAACGTTTTAGCACAAAAAAAGAAACTGTCCAGATGACCTGACTGAAAAATGTTGGATTGTATACCTGGATTATTGAGCACGGACTTTGTTGTCTAAAAGTTATGATTTAAATTTTCCTCTTGAGCTGTAAATAATACATTTAACTACTGCTCGCTCTGTTTCAAACCTCATCACGTCAGATCAAATACAGTTTCATACTCTGAATACATTAAATAGAAACTAAACTGGGTCTTGGGCCATTTGCTGGAACTTTCTGTCATTCTGGCGTTCATGCCACTTCAAGAATAGAATTTAACAAAATTACAGAGACTAACAACACCACATTCATTACACTTCATCAACAAAGTTCACTCAGGAAAACACTTTTAGGTTTGAAATTTTCACACATATTACCGTTTATATAGTTACCCACAACGGGAACTACTTCAGCACGACATCATCGGTGGTTTCAGTTGTAAACGATGATCGGTTCCTCTCCTGCAGTTTGAGCTGTCGTCTCTTTTTACATTTATTTTACATTTATTTAAACATTCATACTTTAAAAACTCGAGCATTTAAACAATAAATCTGAATCTCTGAATCTCTCTAAACAAGCCTTAGAAATAAAAGACAGAGCATTTCATGAGGGTATTCATGTCGACTGCTGCCTTTCGTAACGTAGTTTTAAAATGACATCATCTTTTCAAGAGAAAGGCCGGAGTTGTGGCTGTTTTGGTTCAACTTTTAAGAAAACAATAAACATCTTAAATGATGTTAGTGCTCTGCGGTTCTGTTGTGAATGACTCTCACCTACTACCACATCAACTTTTAGCTTAACATCTATAAATTTGACATTATTATACCATTTCTTTATAACTAAGGTCAATTAACTGGTGATCATCATCTTGTACTATGTTTTAATGACCACACAGTAGTTTTTGAGATATTTACTTACAGTCAGGCAATATTGAATCAAACAATCAGTGTCAATGTTTAGGCAAAGATGGTGTGAAATGTGTCACACATTAAGGGTGTAATGTTCAGCTTCTACCAGATATTAGTACAATATTTGTAAATTTGGCTGAATTATAACAACTCGTGCATTTTCTAAGGCCAGCTTGCTGTGTTAGCTATTTTGTTTTAGGTTAGCTCCAGATGTGCATCCAAAGATTACTTTCTGAGAGTTTCACTAAAATATTTCCACTGGCTTGTGAGCTATTTTAACAAACTAAATCAGGGACAATCACTTTCCCCATTGTCTTCAACAGTGGGTGATAATTATACCTGCAGAAATGTCAATGCAAACACAACATTGATAAATCTCAGGCTGAACTAAAACTGCACAGATGAAACAGCTAGTTTTACTATTAATCCAGCTGTTTTTGAGACGTTACAAACAGAAAACACAACGAATTGTCTGCACTAAGTCGTCTGTGGTGAGTTGTAACCATGAGTGACGAGTGTGCAGCACAAAAACCACATCGTCCACATGTGCACGACGGCTGCCCCCAGCAGAGCAGGCACATGGCGACACATGAAGGTGAGCCTAATCTGGCCCGCTGCTTCCTGGAAGAGCAGCTCGGCTCATGTGCATGTGCACACTGTGACATGTTTGTCTGATTGTGTTGCATGAATTATGAGGACCTGGAAAATGTCCTCTTACTGTTTCTTGCTGGTTGATTTCATCAACTAATGTTTGCTACAAAGTACTTAGAAAGCAGCTGCAGTGTGTGTGTGTGTGTGTGTGTGTGTGTGTAAGTGTGAGAGAGAGCTCTTCTTTACTGATGACAAGAAATTTAAAACTCAAGCTTTGTTAAAGTTATCTTCCTTCTAAACACCCTGTTTGTTGCCATGAGGTTAGAAACCAGAAGAAACACTCATCAGATCAATAAAACCTTCAAACAAAGCCTCTAAAATAAGTTTGAATGTGTTTAATCCAGCTGATAAGATCTGATCCAGTGAGCTGGAAGAGACTAAATCAACTTTCAGTGGGTGTTTCCACTGATTTTGTCAAATCAAGCCATTGTCAATTGATTTGACAAAATCAGTTGATTTTGTCAAATAAAATTTGGGGTGGGGGTGGGGATTAAAATACAGTGGTACTTCATGTAAATCACTGTGTGAATGTGTATTCAGAGAAACCAAAAGACTCCGAAACACTGAATGATTTTCTCTCTTTAGATTTACAGACAGAAGGCAGATACTGACCACATTTAAGAAAAACTTAACAAAAAAAAAAAAATACAAAGACAACAACAACAACATACAAATGATGATTTATTGCCTGCTGACAAAAAAAACAAAACAAAAGGTGTGTGATTACACTTTTGCCTGTGTTCATGTGCTTGTTTGTTGTGTTAGCAAAATATGTCATCAACAACTGGATGTGCATCTACAACAGATTATCCTTTGGAGTTAACCCAAATCCCAATGGCCGCCATGGCTGATCACTCTTAACAAACTCAAAAAGGGCTACGACGCTGTCAGTTTTACAGCTACTGAGCTAAAATCTGGTGTGGTAGTAGCTGAGAGTGATCCACAACACGTACTGAACTGATTGTGTTAGAGCTTGGTTTAAATCTATTGGAGCCAGATCTGTCTGTTAGCAAAATATCTCATGAACCCTGACAGAGTTTACTAGAACTGCCAGAAAGTGATCACTGGATGAACATCTACACCTGATTATCTCTTAAAGTTGATGCAATTCAAGATGGTTGCCTCAGCCAACTGCTCTTAGAAATAACAATTATAATTTTTCAGGTACTGTAAAGCCAGGCCTGTGGTTTAACTAGTCTTTTTAAAAAAGCTGCTTCTTTTCAAACTCAAAACATCAGCAGTCAGGCTTGATCTAAGTAAGATCTCTATGTTCAACCTATGGCTCTGGGGCCACATGCAGCCCTTTGGTCCCTCTGCAGCGGTCCTGTGAAGCTTGATCAAGACTAACAGGAAACTTAATTTTATTGGTTTTTATACCCATAAAAAATAGTTTTAGCAGTTTTACTGCAAATTTTATGCAAATATATGACATATATTACTAATAAAAGGAGTGAAACACATTGATTAAATTTCAGCATTCAGCCTTAAAGTGATTTTTTGGGATACCTTTAGGACAGGTTGCTTAGAACAATTATAGTGAGTCAATTTGATAACAGTAAGAATTAGGGGAAAAAAAACTATTAGACTCAATGTATTTGTTTTTAATTTAAAGGATTAAATTACATAGCCGACAAACTCGCCAAATGTTTATACTCGCTTTAATTTTATGCTTTATTACTGGGACACTTGAATATTTTTCCACGGAGGACTAACATCAGCCTGCAGAGTTCAGTGTTTTGATTTTTATTACAATGGATACAAACTATTCTTTTTCCTCATATTTTTTTCTTTTGTAGTAAAATGTAAAAATACCAATAAATGTTAAAACTTCTTATATACTTGTTGTTTTGTGATGTCACCCATTGGCCGGAACTGCCCCTGAAACAGACTCGAAGTGGCCCACGGACCAGCAGTTGATAAACATGTTCCGTCCAGTCCAAGTCTGTTGAGTAACCTCCTTCTAATAAAAGATTAAATAAGTTCAGACGGTGTCTTCTCTCTCCAGCGTTCCATGACACCGATGTCTTCTCTCTGAAGTTGGTAAACAAAGACACGTGCTTCCGAGAAGTTTCCAAAGTGGGCGGAGCCTGAGCACTTCCGGGTTCAGACTCGGAGGATAAATGAGGGAGTCGCGCGCAGAAACACTGAAAACAACAGAAGCGCTTTGAGTCGGGGGAGGTGATTTAAACTGCAGCTTTCAAGTCTTTTTAATTTTATTTTATTTTAACTTAGCTCACAGGCAGCGGGTCGGGATGCCGTTCCTCGGGCAGGACTGGAGGTCACCGGGTCAGAACTGGGTCAAAACCGAAGACGGGTGGAAAAAGACAGCAGCAGAGGACAGGAACAACAATGTGTCTGTGGACAGGTTGGTGGGCTAAAAGCAGCTGCGCACTTTGACAGTTGCGCAACACGCGCAGTTATTTTTTAACTGGAGGATGGAGAGAGGAGTCCTCACAAGATGATAAAGAAAGGAGAGCGATCCTGCAGTGTTTTCATGGTTGCGAAGTTCTCCCAGCAGGCTAATCACTGGGCTAATAATAACCCAACAAAGCTCTGAGCCTGGACACTGTCCAGACTTCACTGAAACAAACCTGTCTGTCGTGATCTGAGGGTTAGACAGGCAGAAGGAGCGTCTGTCTCCTTGAGGCAGTTCAAATAAAAAAGTGCCTCTTGTTTTTGTCTGTTTTTCCAGTTTCTGCAAAGTGAAGGAGCCGGAGTGCTTCAACAAGGAGAACCTGCTGCTCTCCTTCAGCTACGACATGGCTGCCAAGAAGAGGAAGAAAGACCTCCAGAACCAAAACACCAAGATCCCCTGTGAGTCCTTCACTGTCAAACTGAAGGCCCGCGGGCCAAATCTGGCCCACGTTAACGCTGCATGTGGCCCCACAAGATGACGTTTAAATCTTGTTCTAGCTTCTCAGCTTGCTTCAAGAAAAGCTAAATACTTAATTCGGTGACAGCTGGCTAACTTTGAAGACAGAAAAAAGGGTTGGCTTTGTCAGCCATCTTTGATTTTGAACCAAGTTTTTACTTTTGGCCCCCTTTCGTCACAGAGTTTGACCCCCCCCTGTAGCGTTTTGTACAATAATAAACAAATTCGACATCAGAGTCTCGGCCTGCGAGGATGTTTTCGTAACTTTGATGACTCGTCTGCGGCCCCAGCAGCCGTGCATCTTGCTGATGGAAACGCTCTGTTTTCTCTCAGATTTCCACATGGAGAAGTGGATTTACGTCCATAAAGGAAGCACCAAGGAGGTAACAAACCTGCTCATTTACTTTCATGGCAACATTTTTTCCCCTCCCCCCTGAATTTAAACGCCTTCAGACAAAGGATTTTCAATCTTAACCCTCGGCTGATTGAATTCTCCCAGCGTCACGGATACTGCACGCTCGGCGAGGCCTTCAACCGCCTGGACTTCTGCAGCGCCATCAAGGACTCGAGGAGGTTTAATTACGTCGTCAGGGTGAGTTTGTGTTTGTCCTGTGTGTGCGGGAGAGAGGGGCTTAAAGTCAGGAGGGTGTGCATGTTCTTATCAGCCCCCTCCAGACAGGACCGCTCACTGATGAGAGCGTGTGTTTGTGGTGCCTGACACCCCTGAACCACTTCTTTATTAAATCACTTCCTTTTTGCTCGCAGGCTGATTTATCATCAGCAGATTAGTTGAATTCAGTCCCGTCTCTGTCAAAATGTCAGTAAATTTTACTTCCCCCCCCCCCCCCCCCCCACACATGTGTCCACATGTGAGCTGAAGG